GTGTGTGTGTGTGTGTGTGTGTGTGTGTGTGTGTGTGTGTGTGTGTGCGTGCGTGTGTTCCTATAGTAGGGAGAGTGACCGAGGCGGTTTCGTTATGAGGCCATTATTGTATGCAGCAAGCGGTGGTAACGGGACGTGACGCTAAGCACGTCACACCTAGAGCATCTACATGTATATGCTCCTGCATCCGCCTCCGTCCTCCCGCATCCGCCTTGTGCTAGGTATAGGACGCACCTGCGAACGGGCATCGCTTGCTTTCAGCAAGGGTCTGGTTTTGACAGACGAGTTTATGCTAGAGCCGGTTTTGAGCCCATATATATAAGCAGCATTTGACAAGCAAGAAGGAGAGAAGATATAAGATTTAGGGAGACACTATATAGTCAGTCAGAGCCTAGGCATGGTTGCCTATAGGCTGTAGTATGTATATATATATATATTTTGTATGTGTAGTTACTAATAAAGTACTAGTGAAACAAGAATTCAGAGCCTAGGCATGGTTGCCTATAGGCTGTAGTATGTATATATATATATTTTGTATGTGTAGTTACTAATAAAGTACTAGTGAAACAAGAATCAACGAAGCTACGTCTACCTCTACTGGTTATCTCTGTTACCAACGCTGTCACTTCTACGCTGTCGAACTACGAGAACCCGAAGGTCTCACAATTTCGCAGTACAACACCATCCATCCGTGAGAGTAGATTCCATTAGGACATAGATTGGGCGTCGGCACCCGGATGTGGCGACGATGACGTCATTATGCGATGCGAGCGTGTTGATTCGGGTCCGGATCCGACCGATAACCGACGATGATTCCGTTCGGCGCCTGGCATTTCAGCTGCGAAAATTGCATTTCGACGAAAATACGGATAGAATCGAGTTGAAATCCGCGTCGGCTGCGCGGTAATGTATGGCGTGTGTGCGTGCGTGCGTGGACGTGCGTGCGTGTATGTGCGTGAGTGCGTATGTGCGTGTGTGTTTGTGAGAGTGCGTGTATACGTGCCTGCATGTGTACACATGCGTGCGTGCATGTGTATGGATGCGTGCGTGCATGTGTATGGATGCGTGCGTGCATGTGTATGGATGCGTGCGTGCATGTGTATGGATGCGTGCGTGCATGTGCTGCTGCTGTTGCTACTACTACTACTGCTTCTACTGCTGCTGCTGCTGCTGCTGGTGGTGGTGCTGCTGCTGATGGGGTAGTGGTGGTGGTTGCTGCTGCTGCTGCTGCTGGTGCTGGTGGTGGTAGTGGTGGTGCGGGTGCTGCTGCTGCTGCTGCTGCTGCTGGTGGTGGTGCTGCTGCTGATGGGGTAGTGGTGGTGGTTGCTGCTGCTGCTGCTGCTGGTGCTGGTGGTGGTAGTGG